TGTTCACAATCCCAATGTTAGTAGCCTTTGGATCATTGTTAAATACACCAAGGTGCTCACCAAATGTACACTTGAACACTGTTTTTGGGGAAAGTGATCCTGGAGACTTGTCTTTCTTTGCAGGATCAGTAGTAGGCTCACCTCTAATAACAATGTTGCTTTCTATCATGATGTTACTAGTGAAGCTGTATGTTCCTGCAGGATAATATATCACACCTCCTCCTCCACTGACAGCTGCCTTTTGAGCATCTTCAAAGGAGCCATGATAATCCTTGATGTTATAGACACAGCTCCAATTGACAATGCTGTTGGCCCAAGTGTATGTGAGGTTACCATATAAAGCAGCTACTGGGTCATCTTTAGGGCCACTAGAAGAACTGCCACAAGTAACAGGTTTGGGAGGAGAGTGAGAGAGAACTGAGCAAGAGAGCAGTAACACTGTAACAGAAACAAAAGTGATCATGCTGTGCTGTATTTTTACAGGTCAGCAGCCCCACCCATCCAGAAAATGAGCCGCCCACGCATTCACATTCATCACGTGTGGCTTTATAATTCTACAAAAAATATAATTTTAGCATATAAACCATAAATAAATTAATAAATACACAGCAATTGTGAAGCAAGAAATAAGCAATATATACTATGAGTCAAGGACTTTGATAGGATCAACTTTAAGCCTCTCAGCCAGTTCATTCTTAAAAAAGAGAAAATAAAATTAAAAAGAACAGAATAATTAGTAATAATGCTTCTTAGCTGTAGTTTTGTCTTGTTTAATGAAGTAATTACTCACCAGTGAACTGATCATGTTCTTATGGTAAGTGATGGCTCCATTGTCATCTGCTAGTTTCATTCTTGATCTTGAGAGATCACCAGCCACTTTCACTGGTAGGGAAGGATCAGACTATAGTATAGTAATGCATGGTGTGTGCATAATAAAGGGAATGCATATGAGACATAATGCAGAAACTGATTATAAAAGTACATAGTAAATTAGTTTTACACAGTATAGTTCAATAAATGAGCATCTAAACTTTTGCCACTGTAAATACCATATATGCCATATATTTTGCGGGTATAAAATTTCACGATTTGGCTGCATTTTTGCATTTGAAAATAAAGATTTAGCAATTTTTATGCTTGCAGATTTTAATTTTGCAATTTTTTTTCAAAAACACAAAAATTGCAAAATTTAATCCCTGCAAAATATATGGTGTATACGGTAATTCATTCAGTAAATGCTCAAGACTTGTGTGTGGGTATGTTCAGTTCAGCACAAGCTTACTGGATCCATTCCTCTTATTTCATCCATGAATTCCTGCATCTTGTCCTCAAATCCAGGGGCAAAGCAATTTGGATCTAGAGCCATGAAAGTTTGTCCCTAAATCAAGTAAAGAAAAATATATTACAACAGATAGAAAGAAATACAATCAAGACAGTAAACTTATTGGCTTAGTAGAACTAGAAATGGACATACATAGTACCGTATAGTAGGACATTTTGGAGGGAATTGAATTTGGTGAATTGGTGTTTTGATAGCAATTCGCCAAAATAAAAACCCGCCATTTTGAGCCATTATACACATGCTCAATGGCACGTGGCCACAAATCCACCAAATTAAAATTCGCCAATCACATAAAATTTTGTAATTTCCCAAATTTTCCCCTCTCCAAAATTTCCCACTATACAGTATTTTAGACTAATATATGTAATAGAAGAATAAGTTCAAATTTCAAGTGGCAGATGCGCATGTACATGTACATGTAAATACAATGTGGCTACTGACCAGGTTAGCAACTCTAGGATCACTCTTCCATTTCCTAATGTTTGAAGCAAAAGGTCCTCCACTGAGTACACCACATATAGTCTCTACCATCATAGCCAGTCCATATCCTTTATAACCAGCTACATTAGGAAGGTATTGCTATTTAACATAAGAACATGTACATGTATATGCATCAAAAAGTGTCATTTTGACAAATACCAGCTAGCAGGATTTTGAGTAGCTTTAAAAAATTCACAAAAAATCTAATTTTGATTGAAATCAGTCAAAACTTTCTACATAACATAAAAACAAGTATATGTATCAGAAACAATTATAAAAATGGAAATTTTCATTTTTGACAAAATTTGGTCAATGACCCAGTAGTACATGGACTTTGGCCCAATTTCAAAATAACTTATAAAAATTTGCAAAAAATCTCTTTTTGATTGGAATGAGCTCAAACTTTCTACATAATGTAAAAACATGTATATGCATCAAAAAAATTAGAAAAATTGAGAATTCTCCATTTTTCATTTTTGACAAAATTTGGCCGAAGACCCTGTACTATAGCACAGGGACTTTGGCCTAATTTTGGAGCAACTTTAAAAATTCATAAAAAATCTAATCTTGATCGGAATGAGCTCAAACTTTCTACACAACATAAGTACATGTATATGCATCAGAAAAAACTTTTTAAATGGAAAATTCTCGACTTTTCATTTTTGACAAAATTTAGTTGAAGACCCTGTACTATAACAGGGACTTTGACCTGATTTCGGAGCAACTTTAAAAATTCATAAAAAATCTAATCTTGATCGGAATGAGCTCAAACTTTCTACACAACATAAGTACATGTATATGCATCAGAAACAATTATAAAAATGGAGAATTCTCTCCTTTTCATTTTTGACAAAATTTGACCCAAAACCATGTACTACAGTACAGGGACTTTGGCCCAGTTTTGGAACAACTTTAAAAATTTGTAAAAAAATCTAATTTTGATTGGAATCAACTTAAGATTTCTGCACAACATAAGTACATGTATGTGTATCGGAAACAGTTATAAAATGGAGATTTCACTCCTTTTAATTCTTGACACAATTTAACCTGAGACATCCTAGGCTCACCTCACCATAACCTAACTTATTCATTTTACCTTAATTTTTTCTCTCACTTATTTCCATTATTATTACTCTCATTTCTTAACCTACATGTATTATTTATCCTTGTCTTGTATTTATCTTGTAAAAATGTTTATTTAAGGTCTCAGTTCCCTCCTACACTGTACTATAGTCCAGGGACTTTGGGCTGATTTTGGAGCAAATTATAAAATTCGTAAAAATCTAAGTTTTACTTGAATCGGCTAAAACTTTATTTCTACATAACTGACTGACCTAGCTATAATTTTGTATAAAAATACTTACAGTTTAGTTCTAATCCTCCTAGTGGCAAAAGACCACCATCTTTATACACATCATTAGGATCAAGTGTCTCCTATAATACAAGGAACAATAATGTATTATTAATATAGTCAATGAAATAGATAGACTATAGCTTATAAGCATACCTTTCCATCCGAGTCAACAGCCCATCCTGGTGGGAGTGGCTCTTCCTTCCTCCTCTTCATCTCTACCTACATGACATGTACATGTAGTTAAAAGAATAAACACATTTAGTGCATCAACTTAAGTATTAGTTAAAGCACTGTTGATTCGTAGATTACGGAAATTATTGCACTTGGGATGGTCTCGACGAAAATGTAGCACTCGGCTTCGCCTCGTGCTACATTTTCCTCTCGACCACCCCTCGTGCAATAATTTCTGTAACCTATTCTCAACAGTGCTTTAACTAATACTTAATGTGCATTGTTTCAATGTGTATTACATTGATCTATATTATATAAAATGCATTAAGCCCCTGCCAATTTCTTTTACATACACACACACATTAGTGTGTGTGTATGTGTGTGTGTGTGTGTGTGTGTGTGTGTGTGTGTGTAGGTATACTGACCTTACCCAGAGCTACAGTCGAAGTAGCCATATCCAACATGTAATAATCATCATCCTTTGCTGGAGCACCAAACGCAATAGGATTAGTACCAAAAGCAATCTAATATTCATCAACAATAATTATTATAATTCTTTCTACTAATAACATAACGTACATCTTTGGATCTTGTTGGTACCACTAATGGTGAAGTGTTAGTAAATGACATACCCTGTAGAAAAATTAAAGGTTAAATACATGTAATATATGACACAATTGTACATGTACATGTATAATAGATCAAAGTGCAACTGCATCAAATAAAAACTACTAAAGTCCATTTGTGCTGACCTGAACCCTCATTTTCTTGCTACCTTAAGCCTACTATTTTTAGCGTCTACTAAATTTAGCTATATTAGCGAGAGAGCTTTAAACCGCTAAATTAAATAGACGCCAAAATAATAATTATTCATTATAATGGTTATTATTTACAGTTAATTTGGTTAAAAACGCTAAAATTAGTAACGCTAAACATGACTTTTGCTGATTTTGCTAAAATTAATAGACGCAAGTAATAGTAGGCTTAAGGTATAACCTAACTTTTAACTTACAAGTTCTACTGTAAAAATAAACATACCAGTGCATTCCTCTCCTTTTGCCGCATCTATTGTGGTACTTAAGAAGTAGCTATAGCTTTATAGCTCCAAATTGGTTGTATAACCCATGCAGAAAGTACAGCCATGCTTTTCACAATATTAATACATTGTGTTAATTATTGGGTGGGGTCTGTAATCACTTCCTGGGCTCAGGTGAATGCAAATGGACTTTAATGCCATTCACATAAAACCTATACCTCTCACCATGCATAAAAGATATGATATTAATCTGGACTTACAATTAGTCCTTGCTTGACTGCCATCAAAGCATAATAACCAGCAATAGCATGCAATAAAATTACTAATAATGTCATTCACATCAAACCTATACCTCTCATCGTACATACATGTAAAAGATACCATATAGCGCTTTAATTTGGTGGAGTTTTATTTTGGCAATTGGCAGTTTGCAAGCAGAATCGCCAATATTAAAACTGACAATCATTAATGTGCATGCTCAGTAATGCACGTGTACACAAAAAATTGTCAAATTAAAAACCACCAATTACAATTTTATAGCAAAATCGCCAAAATAAAGCACTATACAATATCATAAATCTAGACTTACAATTAGTCCTTGCTTGACTGCCATCAAAGCATAATAACCAGCAATACCATAATGATTAGAACCTGTATAGAACATATCATTACCACTAGTAGACACCTTTAGCTAGAACCAATTTATTTCTCTCCCTTTCCTCTTGTCGTACACAAACACATCATTTTATTATTATTACTATTATTATTATTGTTATTATTATTATTATTATTATTATTATTGAAACTTTATAGCACTAGTACAGAATTACAATTAGGCAATAGTTAAAAAGAGTTAGAAGTGCTGAAGAACTGCAACAACTAGTGTTACAGCCTTAAAAATAATAGGATTTAAAATAAAATTAGTGAAGTAGTAGTTAGTAGTTCTCTCACTCTCCATTGTATTATCAAAGCTGTGTATTCAATTGCCAAAACTTTGTTAGTAATAACATTTATATTTTATCATTTTATGCTAACAGGTAACCTAATTGACAT